TTTTTTTTCTTAAAAATTTATTTATTTATGCATACAAGAACTTGGGTACAGGCTGGAGGTGAGAGGATTCACCAGAGACAGAGTGGGGAGCAGAACATTAAGATTGACAAAGTACACTGCTGAGGGGAGCAGTGGTGAGACAGGAGAGGTCTGCTGTGCCATGTGGGTCAGCTCCCTGGCTTGGGGCTGAACATGTGCTGAGGGGCTGTGGCTAGTTTCATAGTGCTGCTCTTTAAAGCCTTGTGCCACCAGGGAGGGCCCTCTATATCTTTTTCAAGGTTACTTGGGAAAAGTCTCACAGAGAAGTCCCTGTTTCAGACTTTGCAATTTCTAGCATCACAAACCACTGATGGACTCACTGTTCAGTCAATGTGGGATTTGTTGACCCATCACAGTTGAATCCCTAACTGTCATAACACCAGCCTAATCAGCCCTTTGTTGTCAGTCAATGTGGGAGTCCAGCTACTCAGGGGGGTTAGATGGTGATCTAGTCTCCTGAGTCCTTGCATGTTATATTGGCTTGTGGTGTGGGACTATGCTCTCCTTCCTACCCTGACTCACAGATCTCATTGGCAGCTGGCCTGGGTGCCTGCTTAATATTCCTATTCTGTCTTGGCTTGGAGGATGTCCTGATTATGGTCTGCTCTACTTGGTTAGCATGCATATTGTGGGTGATTTTGATTACTATTTATTGTGACTGAATAAACACAAGTTCACCGACTTTAAGGGTTTCAAGCTTCTATCTCACTTCTCAGATGAGCCTTTCGGAGCACACATTTGGGTAGTGCTTTCATTTGGCACCTTTTTGTTTCATTGAAGACAGTGGGTGAGATCATTGGGGAAGTAGGTTGTCACACACAAGGATGAGAAATGACTGTAGAAATCAGAGGTAATCAGAGGAGAGAACATAAGAAAGCACCAAGCAGACATGTAGAACTATTTAGCATGGGGGCAACTGGGTTTTATATGCTTTAAGAGATCCAAGCATATCACTGAGTACCAAGGTCAGGTATAGGCAAAAGGGTTGGTAAACATTTAGTGAAAGAAAAGGTAAGCCCCACACAATTTTACAGTCTTAGAGTGCATCAGTACCTCAAAGTTTAGTTTAGTAGTATGCTCAAAGCAAGGATGGGCACCATCAAGAAAAAGTTAAATGATATTTGCTACACAGGTTTCCAAGAGCAAACACATTTTAGAAACATTGTTCCCTAAAAATGCAAGTTTTCTCATTGATGTCATAGCTTAGAGCAGTAAATCTTATTACCCAAACAATAGGGGCCACCTTATTCCCCTAAGATATCAATGGCTAAGGCATTAGCACACAAATAGTGAACCAAAATACTTTACAAGACAGATATTCAAGGACTTGGAGAGGACGCGGTTATATGAGGGCTTTAAAGTAACACGTTCTTTTTAAAAGAAACAACTCTGAGGCATAACATGGTGTCTTTTAGACTCCACTCATGTATATATCTGTCCCTGAGTGACAGAGATCCAAGGCAGGTAAACTCTACCCAAAATTAAACAGAATCATCCAGATTTCTGATTGGAGCTAAATGCTCCTATTACCTTGGCTACGTCTCAGTTCCTGATGTGTGGTCCAAGTTTCATGTTCTGACTCTTACTCCTCTGTTTAACTACTGGCATCTTCTATTTGGACAGCTGGTGGCTGACTCTGGCTTCATCCCATGATTTCACCTCCTGACTCCCTGACTAGCTGTCATTTACCTCTTGCCACTCTAGGTCTGGCTCCTGCCCAACTGGTCTTGTTTTACTACTTCTTCACTCTTTGCCAGGCCATGCCAGGAGGTCAAGTTGCATTCAGGTAATAATGAAGGATGTTGCACTGCTATTTTGCTCATGATTCTCATGATTCCAGATAATCCATCTTGTTTGAACTAGCTTCCCTTAGGGGTGATGCTTTCTGATCTGACTTTTCTCTAATAGAAACAGTACATACTACCATTTCACAGTGGGGTATATCCCACACTGAAGGAGTAAAATGGCTCAAATACTGGCTAGTTATACACACTCAGGAATTGAAGCCCTCAATGTCAGATGCAAATGAAGATAGTTAATTGCCTTCTGGAATCTAAAAGGAGAGACTCAGCCCTAAAAGGCCACTATAGAGATGCTTCTCAAACTTAAATGTGCAAAGAGTTACCTGCAAAGGCAGTAAAAGATAGATTCTTGGCTCCATTCCTAGAAAATCTAATGTGGTGATCTGGGACCAAGAATCTGCATTTTTAACAAGAGCGTTAGGTGATTCTGGTGTAGTTAGTCCTTGGATCAGTCTTGAGAAAAACTGCCATCACAGCCATGAGACAAGCTGACAAAGCTGGGATAAGCACAGTAATCACAGCACCCCTCAATTGCTTCTTCTTAGAAGCCTTGTTGCACCTTGCTTAAGACAGGTCATACCAGACAAGCCTTTCCTAATGTTCTATTACTGAACATTAATTAGCCTAGTTCCAAGGTTAACTTATGTTTGCTTTAGTAAAACAAAGTCAATTTCCCATGTTTCCATAAATAAGGTATTTGAACGTTTTTAGAGTAAGTGGGAATAAGTATCTAAGTTATTTTTTTTTGATTGAGGAAGAAATGCTCTAAAGAGCAATATACCATTGAAGTTACATACTATTGTCCTTCATCATACAGAACTTCCTTCCTTAGAACACTTCCCTATGATAATTTCAAAGGTCTCTAATAGTAAAATATTTAAAATTCAATAGTAATCACTGCTACTTTAAATAAGGAATGAAAGTGCCTACGTTATCCAGAAATGCTCTCAATTAGCTTTAGAGCAATAGATACACTATCGGTGCGGAATATCTGTACCTGAATGGTCTGAGGCCCAGGAGCCCGCGGACCAAGAACAGCAGAGCTCAGGAAACCCACTGGCTGCACAATTGACTGGGAAGGCCAAGTTTCCCTGGACCCTCCCTAAGCAATCCTGTAGGGGAATCCTCAGGAAAATCAGCTTAATTGGGAGGATTCTGATGGGGATAGGATGCTTTTTGGAATCTAAGATGACAGAAGATATTGATGAGCTATTAGATCCAGAAGGCCTGTCTGATATTTAAGATAATGGGGCCTCCATTTGTTTCAGGAGGTTGCCTTCATTTTTGCACTAACATGGTTTATGGCTTGCAGGGGATCTATGGACTGACTGATGCAACCATTAAGGATGTTAGAGCCCCGTTCTTAGTATTATTGTGACATGTGAGCGTTTGTGTTTTTCCTAGGAGGATCTTTATTTTTTCTCCCAAATCTCATAACTGGTTATACAGATGTTTAATTGAGAGGAATAATTATGAATTACGATTTGTTTTTATTTCTTTCAAATAAACTTTCCTGTCTGAATCATTTATCGCCTTCATTACAAGTGTTTTAAATATTGTAAAATTAAAGTTTAAAAAACAAACACTGCTGGTAGGCAAGCCAGAGACCAGAAAAACTCGTTTTTTTAAAAAATGTTAATTTTCTTAATTGAGTCATGTTTACTATAAGGCTGCTAATTTACAGAATAAAGGAATTTAAAGTCAGACTACAAAGTAGAAAAAGTTGATTAAGAAAGAAAAGCATTAATCTCATGAAGGCAAAGGGATAGTGGAACTTGATAGAATAAGGATGATCAGACATAGGATGCCTCGAAATGTGAGAATTCTAGTTTTAAAAGCAAGAAGATAGAAGTCTATTTTGGGGACAAGACCTACTTAGGAAATGAAAGCTGTTGACCTACAGCTTCTGAACATCTTTATCACCCTGATATGCTTTGGGTAAATAAAGCAAGGAAGACAAATTTTACCCAGCTTATGTTTGCTGTTCAACTCTGACCCCTGCCTACTGAATGACTTTAATATCAGTTATGGAAAAATGATGCCACTTTAATTTCCAGTTCCATCCCCATCTGGTCAGGGAGGGGATGAATTAATATTATCATGTTTTGTCTTTAGGGCTTCTGACACCTCTGGGGACCAGCCTGTGGGACAGTGTGCGTTGGCATGGATTCTGGGCCAGAGTCGAAGAGCGGGATTCAGGACAAGGCGAGTTCACATAACACAGTGCAGAACCATACAACACAACTTGCTCCGAGGATGTTGGGCATTGTGCTTCATTAGGAAACAAAATATAAGCTTTCCACACCATTAGGAATGACTTTAGGAGTGAAAGCACATAAGACGATGCCTCACCTCATCAACAATGCACTGCAGAAGCTGGAGAGGCTGCAATGGGAAAGAAGAGAGGAAAAAGTATTAGCCTCTCTGCAATATCTTTACAGTGGAGTGGAAAGAAAAAATCATTAATGCAATAAAATATAGCAAGATTAATCAACAACAGCAAACTCTTATAAAAACAGTGATGCTCAGGATGTTCTATTATTTCTAATGGTACCTAATCTAATACAGGCAGTTAAAGGTTTGCATTTTCTTCAAAATGCAATTTGCTAAGTTTAAAACAAGGCATTCAAGCATGCAAAGGAAGCAGCCATCAGGAAAAAGAAAAGTGAATTTTTTTCTGAACTCATAAAGCTTACCATTAAAGATCCCTGGTTTTTCTGAATCTGAAAAAAGGCAATATGTAATTAGCATGTCATAATCAAAATGACTCACTTGGACACATTATGATCACTGAGAGAAAATTATTGCATTGCTGGTGGCAATTTGTGGGCATGTGTTAACACAATTTACATAATGAAAATACACAAATGTTAATAGCTCGCTTCTCATTTATAGGCGAAAGTCAGCAGAATGTTAATTTCACACAACACTTTTTAGTACCCTCCAGGTTGTATTAGAATAGAGAGAAAAACCATAATCCATTTCAAAAGGCTGTTTACGATTCAGATATAAATAATGTTTTATATTGCTAGATTGTGAACACTGGGCTTAATGTTGCAATCATTGCTAATGTTATGAAGCTCACTCTTTTTAAATTAAAAACCGATTTATTTAAAATTGAAATTAAATCATAGTCAGAAATTAGAATTTTGGATTCCTGCCAGTGTCTGCTCACATTCCCCTATTTTGTGAAGAAAACTTTAATTATGTGGTTGAAGTATTTGCCTCTAACTCGACAGTGGGGTAAAGACTCCACCTTTTCCAAAGTTCCTTCAGCCTGTTTCCAGGGCAGTAATGCTCTCTGGGAAAATTAAATTCATGCAACTTTTACACTGTTTTTCAGGAAATAAAAACAGTCAAGTAGGGGTGCTGTTCCTAATCAACATTCTGAAGGCGGCTGCACACATCTCTAACACTGATAAATAGTATCCTTTAGAAAGTTACTAAAATGTGACATCAAATTAATAAAACATCCACTTAGTAATTAAAGTATTAAACACTTCAATGCCCTTCCCCCACCCCCTCCAAAATGCCTGCAGTTATTACAAACTCAACGCAAATTGGGTCCCAGGTACTCTATTTCCTAAGAAGGAAAAATTGAAGAACCAAGTACAACTAATGGTGGGTCATTTGTCTACCTGGTCAACTAGATAACTGAGCCCTATCTAATTGGTAAAATACAGGGATAATAATACTAGCTCCTTATATGTTCTGAAGGATACTTTTAAATGTTCTTTCACACACTGATTCTCATCTGATCTGCATAACCAACCCTGAGGTTGGCAGGGATGATCATCTCTATTCTTGGATGGGAAAACTAGGTTTCCCAGAGCATGGGACCAGCCCAAGGTCACTGGACCAGGTTCTGACTTCTCCAGTGCACCTTTCTCTCTGGCATCGGCATTCTATTGGCCTACAATCACAGCAATATTAGAAAACAACTGGATTTGCTTACATTTATATTTGGCACAGTAAAGGTGATAAATGATCAGTTTTGATGTGTGGTTCTTTTCAACTAAACTGTAGGCTTCTCAAGGGCAGAAGCTATGATTTTGTATTTCTTTTGCATCCTTACAGCTGATCAACAGCCTAGTGCTTGAGTATTTGAAAAGTACGTTCTCATATATTGTATCATCTTTACACTCATTGCTGCTCTTGGTTCTTCATTTCTCCCTTCCCAGTCACCACTCCCTGAAACCTTTGTCCAGAGATGACTGGTTCTTTAGTCCATTTGAAAGTTCTACTTAACATTGATCTGAATTATTGCTGCCTCTTCCACTAATCAATTGCACACTCCTGGGCAGGCTCTGCACATAAAGATTTACATAAAACAGGAAGCCAGAGTTGTTAACTATCACCCTGGAATGGTTAGGACTTTAGTAACAAGTTATACCACCTTTAATGGGCCCTCCCTGGTGATGCAACAGGTTAAAGCATTGCATCATGACACTCTAGAAGCCACTGCAGCACAAGTTCGATCCTGGCCCTGGAGGTGACCCACATGGCACGGCAGACCTGTCCTGACTTGCCCGCTGCTCCCCTCAGCAGTGTACTTAGTCAATCTGTTCTGCTCCCCACTCTGCCTCTCACCCACCATATCTCTGGCCTGTACCCCAGGTCTGTAAGCATAAATAAATAAACCTTAAAAAAGAAATATTGAAAGACCCTGTTAACCTCTCCTATGACTGCGATATCTTTGTGGTGTCTGCTTTTGTTGTTTTCAAGTGCACCCTAAGATTTCTCTTATTAAGACAGATCTACTTCAACAGGAGAATTATCTGTAATGAACAAAGACTCAGAAATCCATTTCTGACTTCCAGAGACTATTTTTCACAAGCTTCCAACAGTTAGGGGGACTACAACATTCTCTCAGGAAAATGTGGCAAACATTCTCAGTGAGTTCTGAATTCTAAAATGAATTCAGAAATGGACACTATGCCTACTAACATACCATTGTTTGGGCCAAACTGATGGGAGAAAATTTCTTCATGAACCAAGAATGGTCTCTAAGACCTTCTTCATATTCTGTAGATTAAAAGTGAATTTTAAGACAACTTAAAATTCTATCACTTTAATGCATGCTCTTTACTATAAAAAAGGGGAGAAGCAGTCATAAGAAGGTAGTTTTTATTTTCTTATAACCACATTGTTTTGCCCAGATTTTTAAAGAAAGACATTGTTACCAGATTTTATTACACACTTTTGATAGCAACATATTATATGAAATCATCTTCATAAATTTTGTATTAAGGTAGCAGTGCCAGTACCTGAAATTGATTCAAAATGCTTAAGATACTCAATTACTTTTTAACATTGTTACACAATGTGGTGACTTATATCTTCTATTTCACATGAATTTGATGATGCAACATCATTGTAATTGATTCATTTTCTCAATTAAATAAAGCTACTGTGCTTTTCTTTATATGAATGCCACACAGACCCTAGAGTTAGATGTATTATCTCCTTTCTCCGTCTCAAATATATTGCCTTAAAGGCTCTATTCTGTTCCTCTGCTAATTCCACCAGAAAATTTAATGCCAGTCATATTTTTCAAATTCTGAACTGCCATGTACTAGACTCTATTTATATTAGGCATATTTTTCACTGCTAAACTCCTTGTTTACCTTTTTCAAGATTACATTGGCACAGCAACCATAAAACAGATCCAAACAAAGTCAACCTCTACTCACTGCCTCTGTTTCTGCACACAGTTCATGAAAGAGAAGCCCCCAGTTTTATAGCATTAAAAATCGTACTAAGGGTACACAATATAAAATGTTAGCTTTGTGAATGCCTATTCTGGGTCTTTCTATTCTGGGTCTGCCTTCCAGATGCTCAGCTGTGAGAGAGGAGTTCAGAGGAACACAATAATATTGTTAGGGCTGATGTGTTGCCGGAACCTGTCTACATATGCAATGCTGTTTCTAACTAACCTGGCCAACAAGTCCATGCTCCTGCTAGTGTATTCATCTTGTGTTGAATTTTCTGTCTCAAATAGCGACTGCTTCCGTCATATGCTTCGCTAATGACTCTCTGGCATTTTGAAATACAAATTAGGCGAATCTCTTCTCTCTTCTAGGCCTGACTTTTTTTTCTTTTACCAGTTGTTAGATACAAAACTGTAAGCCACACTACACAGGGGACAGTTATGCCTCATTCAGAAGTAATACAGAGCTTTATCTGTTTCATCAGACAAGAATGAGTTCCTAACAGGCAGGCATAAGTGTCAGGTCTTAGGGTATTGCTGCAGTGATAGTTATCATAAATTTCCTTGCAAGGACCATAGAGTTGGCAATTAGAAAAGCTCTTATGACTTATGACTTTGGAAAATGATCCTGAAATGAATGGAAACTGCCACTGCAAAAGTCTGCTTGTGGGATGCCAACTATTTATTTAGTTGATGACTCTGGAGAAATAAAGTAACTCTGGAAGCCTCCCATTAGGCTTCTATTTCTTAGAGGCACTTTTTATGCAGAGTGGTAAGACAGACTTTGCTACCAGTCTTTTTACATTATATTCAGAAAGCACAACCAGAAAAGGAAAATGAACCCACCTATGTAGCTTAGAGAAGATACCAGCCCTAGCTTTCATTTTCTCTTTTACTCTCTGAAATGATGACTTGCCTGCAGCTCTTGTCTGAGAGATTTATGTGTGACCTAGGTCAGATCTTCCAATAGCAGTTGACAAATTTTCTCTTTACATATTTACTGCTTTCCAAGCTTGTGTTATTTTCTCTTAAATAGAAAAAAGGAAGTAGGAAATTAAATCAGTTGGTTGGAATTTTTTTTTTAAGATTTATTTATTTATTTGTACTGAACTGGGGTACAGGCCAGAGATGCGGAGGGTGAGAGGATTCACAAGACATAGAGTGGGGAGCAGAACAGGCAGATCGACAAAGTACACTGCTGAGGGGAGCAGCGGGCGGGTCAGGAGAGGTCTGCCACGCCATGTGGTCACCTCTGGGGCAGGCGGGAATCGAACTCATGCGGAAGTGGCTTTAGCGTCTCAGTGCTGTGCTTTAACCCGCTGCGCCACCAGGGAGGGCCCCTGGTTGGAATTTTTAAGGAATATTGTTTTTATGTGTATGGTACTATTGTCAAGACATTGTTGCTTTCAATTTTGAATGCTTTTAAAAACTTCACATTTTAGGAACTGTAGCCATTTTGCAAAGAATCTTTTCAAATGAGATGCATTAAGCAACAGAACAGGTCAAATACAAGCAGGGATTGTGGTAGACTGAGACTTGTATCTTCTAAATGAAGAGTAATGACCAAAAGAATTTTTAACCTGGAAATAACCTTAGAGATGACCTAATTCAATCTATTCATTTTGGGAATGAGGTTCAAAGGGAGTAAAAACCAAGTTTGCAGATAGAACTTTGCTTGGACCCAGCAGGCTGTCTAATATGGGGGGAAATAAAGAAACTCTGGAGACAGAAAGACTCCTGGAACCCCAGCCAGAGTCCCATGGCCTCAGGAACTCCCTTCCTTCATTGGGCTCAGGGTGTGTGTTATGATGCCAACCAGAGTGGACAGAGGACAGGTAATGTCCAAAATAAGAAAACATCAATGAGCCATCAGACTTAGAGAAAAGTCTTCCGTTGGGAGATCCACAATTGGTCCCTCCCATGGACAGGGAGATTGCTTTCACTGGCACCCTTTAGGCACAATATTTCTCATTCTCCTCTTTGAACCATGCAACCCAATTTCATTGTCAAACT